CGCATGGTATGATATCTCTATAGATCGTCTGCGTATTAAATGAGACATTGTTGCAACACACACACACGACAACTTTATGGTGCAATATCATGTTTGCAGTGGTTTTTAGTGCATTTTTCCACAATTATGCGACTTTTTTGTTTCTGAATCCTGATTGGTTGTTCAAGGTCACCGAGATTTTGGCTATGATAGTTTAACTTTGCCAGAAAGAATTCTGTACAAACTAGTATTAGCTGTGAGATCATTAAAAACCAAAAGAGAACTGAAGAAGCAACTTATTTCAACTTCAGACTCTTTAGCAGCGTCCATTGGGGGATCGAACCCAGGAATGTTATATAATGATTCTTCACCTAGTCACTAATTGGTTAGGTGTTGCTTCCTTATTAATTTGTTTATTACACACATCACAAAGTGAAAAAGTATTATTTACTGGATGACGTCGCAAACACAATTTGTTGTTCATAATCATATCTATACAACTACACAGCTTCTAAACTTCATTTTTGTAGTTCTCTTTATTCCTTCCCATTCGTCGTAGGGCAGTAGAATTTTTCAGATGTCCAAGACAGGTACTGGATCAAGTATTTTCAGTTGATTCGATAGATAAAGCTTTCGTTAACAATCCCTCCCTCCACCCTGTTATATGAGATCTTGAGACTGTCATCTTATCCCATCCTATTGTTTGGTTATGTGTAATTGATTGTAGTGCCATAACAGCTATTTTCCAGATTTCTTATCTTATAAGGGTCAACTAATCCAGAGAGCTTTTTCTGTTTAAAAAAAATCGAAATATACCAGAATTATCATGCACACATAGCTATGACTTTTTCCAGAAATGGAATCAATCAATTATGCTGTTGGGATAGGTGACTTATTAGCTTAGCCATTTGATATCCTGTGCATAGGTCCCGTGTCCGTATCTTATCTCATCTGTTTCAACTTTTGCAACTGCGTCTTCACATAATAAGTGTGGCTCATAATCGGGTACATGAAAAACCTGTTTCGCATACCTGGGATTCAGGAAAAAAGATTAATGAGAGCGAACTGCTAGAAAATCGGTAATTTAAGGTTTACTTAATATAAAGTACGCCTTTCATGCAAGACCATGTTCACCTAATCCAGAAGATTCTTGACCCATTCCTCCAAGTTTGATATTTTTATGGGGAACTTAACAACAAGTGCGTATAAAACCACGAGGGGAATTTTACTTTTCATTAGGTCTATTGGTAATGCTTTTGTTGTTTCCAGTAGTTTTAGAATACAATGCATCTTAGATGGTTAGAAGCCGCTGACAGGAAACCAATTAAACATCGATCGGCCACGTTGCAAATTTTATTGATAGAATTCGGTCAACCCTAGGGGCTAGGCATATAACATTGGTTACACTATAGGTACCAGGGTTCCGGTTATGGTTCACTGTGTATCATACAAGTTTTCTGAAGAAAAAACATAACAACCATATTTAAAATAAAAAATGGGTTTGAGGATCAGTACTAATGAAGAACTATGAATTTGAACAAGACAGTGATTCAGCATCACTTTGTTTTGAATGATTTTCTAATTTATTTAGGTTGTTAATGAAGTTTATGTCTTTGTAATAATACCTTATTGTATTCTTATGTTTTAGGGAAAGAAGGCAACGCTTTCTAAGTGTAAAAAGACTGAAGGTAAAATAATGTGACATTTATGTAAATGTTTTTGTTAAACTATTTTATACACCCAGAAATTGCGAAAATATAGCCGTTTGTAATTGTAGCCAAATGCCTTTCTCTTACAAAGCTATTGTTAAGATGTATTTGAAAGTATAATGTCGATTATAACCATTTTTATATATCAGTGACCCTAACTGCACTGCAAGTTAGGCTGCATTTTACTTCTCTAGCCAGATCGATACTTACTGGGTGAGTTTCAACACAGAAGTGCAACACTTTAAGTTGCCGCACTCCTATGTTACCCAACATTCCCTGTCGAGGAAGGCAGTGGCTCAACATGTGCAATACGTGCCCTATCCATCTGAATGTATTCATACCTTGACAACCTGATTGACTGGCTTACCCTCCTCACCTAACACTTCACGTAATCCCCACACTACTCACGGTATTATACTATTTAACACGCGATACGAGGACACAAACGTCTATAGTCAAAGACACCTAGCCTTTTCATATCTTCCGCTTACAATGGCTATGTCTCACAGCCATAAAGAGGGAGAGAGAAAAGTGCTGAGCAGTACACACGCCCTTCCATATCGATACACAAAATTTAGACGGGTACAAGATGGTTAGAACGAGGGTAGTAAAATATTTGATCAGTAAATTCACTTATCATCAGAGATTTAGCCGTTTATCCAGAAGTAACTAGTGTAAGATCTGATTCAAACATGTATCACAACAAAATCATTATATCTAATGAAAATACAGCGAGGAGTAACTGACAGGAAGACACACAATTAAACCTAATGACATTAAACATTGATGAAGAAACAGAGTTAAATGAACAAAACCAAGCTGTAATTATTTAGGGTTTAGAAGATGAGAAATGGATGTGCCTCTAATACTGTTAGTAATTAATCTTGGACGATAAAATTTAAGACCAACAACTACTACTGATTCTAGCAGTTTTGCAGTTAAGATTAACATTTATGAGATTGGCGAACTGGTCAAACAACCCTGGAAATCTCCCACACTTCCTGTACTCAGCTTTATCTCACGAAATATTTATAGTTCACAGCGTGATAACTGAATGTTTATCACTTTTCAAAACTTATATAAACTGCTTAGGTTTCTACAAGGAAAGAAATACATTTTTAACTTTTGAGAAGGAATATTGATACGAAGTGACTAAATATAACCAGTCATTAGAAAGATAAACTTAATAAATACTAGTTATGTTAATCAGCAATCATATAAACACACATAAATCTGACACAGAGCGGAATATATTATGCGAGAGGTAATGCCACTATGTAGCTGCTCTAGTAGAAGGAATAGACTTTGAATCTGTTCTGTCCTATTGGAAAGTCAAGTACTTGAACCGACAAGATAACTTTACTACACAAGGAAGCAAGAAAAATGACATTCACTGTTAAACAAACATCGGTGAGCTAAATAAGACACCTGTGCATAATATCTTTGATATTACTTGTGGTTTGGTTATATATTTATTATATATTTTTTTCTTCACGTTTCCAGTGGAACATAGGGCTCCAGGCTAGAGGCTTGAAGTTTCTGTAGCAGTGGTGTTTATTTTTACAGGATGGGGTTGCTAGCCTCATGCCCAACCTTTCCTCTTTATCAGTCTCACTACTGGCTTAGCGAGGTAGAGGAGTGCGTCGGCGGCCGGCGATTGAACCCCAGACCATATGCATAGTCGGCGAGCATCCTAACCGCTGTGCCATCGACGCACTGTGGTTTTGTTAGGAGGTGCCTAAATCCCAAGAAATGCTTGAATCTCATAGGTAATATACATTGCTGACTAGCAAAAGTTGACATCCAAGGATCCTGTATGGTCCCATATAAAATATCAACAAATACTACCTATAACACTGGATTAACTTCGACAAAGATAAACTCAAAAGTATATCAGTGAAAGTCTTTGATAAATATCTGACACTTTGAAACAATTTCATTCTACTAACTGACCTCTCCCCCCATGTATAGCTTACAAGGATAGTGATCAATCTGATTAAGTGGTATAAAAACACATTCTTTTCACATAACAGGTAATCACATACTAAGCGAAAGAGGATTCATGACTAGAGATTTTACTGATTTAGATGTCTGATGCGTTATGTTCCTATTCAACAGGATCTGAGAATGTTTTATGAAATAAGACTTATAAACAGATCAATAAATTGATATGTATATGATAACTCAGTTTCTCTCAATCATTATTACTAATAATACCTAATATGTTCACGTGTAGAAAGTACTTATCATTGTTAGACCGTTGGGAGAAATCTAAAGGAATCCCTGAACCTAGGTCTCCTGCTGATTGGTACTCATCAGTTGAGTAAGGTATGTCTGCAATATTGAAGGAGTTCATGTCCTCTTTGGGGTTCGAATCCTCGTCAACTACCTCTGCAGTCACAGACGTTACCACTGAGTTATTCCAGCTCGTAACTAACCTCCTGCATGAGGTGACCATATAGTAAACCTAACTGATAAAATTCAATCTGCTCCAAACAGAGGAATAGACACATAATATCGGTTACTCCCTAATGCCCAATCAAAGTATCCATTATAATCCTACAGGAGGTCAGTCGTGAGACCAAATAGCTCAGTGACAACATTTTTGACTTCAGCAGTGAGCGACCCGGATTTGAATCTCAGAGTAGAGATGATTTTCCCCAACGACTGCAGATACGCCTTGCTTACTGGTGAGTGCCAACAAGCACGAAACCTACTTCCGGGGTTTCCTACCGATTGCCTCCAACCATCTACAATCAATTTAGAGTGCAGCGTGTTGGCGAGCCTCCCAGCTTGATGACCCCATTGCAATCTTGACTGATAGAATTTAGTCTACACCAATACCAAGGACTCCATGCATGACAATGGTTACTCCGTAGTTATCGATCAATGTATTTATGGTTGCTAGGATATTTTATTGTTATTATTATTTTAACTACTGTTCAACACAAAATTTATTCCTGCTTTCCATCCAATACGATGAGCGTCGGTAGTTCAGAGGTAGAACGCTCGCCAACTACTCACGTGGTTCGGGGTTCGATTCCCGGCCGACGTACCCCACTTAGTTGATAACAAGCCAGGCAAAGAGGGAAGGTTGGGCGTGAGGCTAGTAACTCCATCCCTTAAAAAAATGACACCATTGCTACTGAAACTTCAAAGTTTAAGCTTGGAGCCCTGTGTTCCACTGGAAACGCAAAGGAGAAAAATAAAATAAAAAATAATCCAATACGACACAAGCGAGTAGAACACAAATGAAATTCCAGTTGAAATATATTTATTGAAATGCTTCACAGATTCAAAAAAGAAATGAAAGGACGAGGAAACAGCCTTAATACAAAATGTAATGCACATTCGACTTTCTTTCTCAAAAAGATGAAGGAATCCAGGTATAATATGTAGATGTTTGTATATCCTTACCATGTTCAACAGTGAACTGTTAATTATACTCACAGATACACAAAAGTTGAAAATCAATCATGAAATAATATTGATAAAAGCTTCAGTAGACAATGATAGACATAAATAATTAAGAAAGTAGATATTTTTCAAAAAATCCTTGAAGTACATTTAAACGATGGTCGATTTCGTCTAAATCTTTATCGACATCATGAGTTGGTTTCTTTCTTGAATGTATATGTCTGTTAGTTGGTTGAGCTATACGAAAAAGAAAAAAACAAAACAGAACAACAGAAGTAATAATACATAGGTAAAAAAGTAAATGATAATCAGCCATTCTATGAAATAACAAAAGTCAGAAAACCTGGATTATTATATTTTTACCCGGTGATTAAGTATTGACTAGTAGTACATCACAAGAAGTGATGGTCACGAACTCCATATCAAATAGGATTTTGACAGAGCATTGCTAAGAAAGGTTAAGGTATGGTAAGAAATGACGACTTCAGTCCTTGGTATTTTTGAATAGTACTCTACCTACTGTCTGGCTGTTTCTTATCAGCAGTTGAGATCTAACTCGTTAGCCTTAGAACCAATGAGTCCCGAGTTCGAGTCATCTCCCAGCCTGTGTGACGGCGTACCGTTATAAGCTTTCACACAATAAGTGTGGTTTGTACCAGAGTACATACAAATCTGCTCCATATACATGACTTTTAAGTGTTCCGTCCGAATGTGAAAGATTGTAGCGCAGCACTTTGCGAAATGAGAGAGATTAACAGATGCAAAAAATATTGAGGTCCTTGGACTTTACAGTGAAAAGATCACAATTCAACTGCTAAGTATTTGTCCGTATGGAAGAATGTTAAGAGTTGTCGTCGCTTATTCTGAAATCACTGTGGAAATCTGCAGCATTCAGCATTAGAAACAAGACTCAGATCTTCAGTCCTAATGTCAAGTTGTGATGAGAGCTGGCTGCAAGTCATAAATTGTAGATAGCAATTTACGTTAGTGTCACGTCCAAAATCGGGGTCATGAGAAAAACAATAACAAAGCTTAACCTTGAGGAACACACCAACCAATCACAGAAAACTTGACGTGTGCAATTATGATTCGCAGATATATGGCTTAATTTTCTGAGGAAAAGGTCACAAGCAGTGCAGTATAACCTTCAGCAAGAAAACAACCAACCAGAAAACGTTGCTTCTCCACTGACAATAATGTACATAAAAATCTATAAATACCTCTTGATTTTCTCGATAAATAATCTGTTGCTTGGCCCTTGTCTTCTGTCGTTACAAAGTCAGCGCTTTTATGTGCTTCAGAGACTCGGCCTACAGCATCACCAAAACCATTTCTAACAGGCTTTAGACTTTAATCAACAGCTGTCTAAGCTTCATACTGAAGATCGTATGGTTGATCAGAAAGCATTAGCAACAAGAAACTCTGGGAACGAACCAACCATCGACCTATTGCCTAACAAATATTCCGAAGAAAATGGAGACGGAGACAGTTGAGTATCATAGATTGCCAGGCCCTCGAGTGGAACCCGGGTGTTAAGCGACGAGTTGGGTGTCTAAAAGTGACATGAAGGAGATCGTGTGTGGAGCAAATGAAAAGTTTGTGGGCAATCGTGAAGCCAGCTAAAGAGGACTGCAGTGGGCAGAGTGGGATAGAGATGTGCTGTTGAAGTTCTATGTTCCACATGAAACCCAAGGAATTATTAATAATAATAATAATCACTTATAACCAACTTTGTTTCATCAATCAGGACCTGGCGGGACTTACGAGCTGTAGTTTATTTATTATTATAGTGGATGACTAAGTGGTTGGTTAACCATACAATAAAACTAATTTTATTGGTAAAAGTAACGACGGATGATTGATTGGTAACTTGTGTCCAATCAAACTACCCACTACAGTCCCACAGGAGGTCAATCACGAGCCCGAATAGCTCAGTGGTAACGTCTCTGACTGCAGCACTGGGTGACGCGGGTTCGAATCTCAGAAGGGACATGGGTTCCTTCAAGGTTGCAGATACGCCTTGCTGACGATTGCCAACTAGCACGAAACATAGGTCCAAGGCTTCCTGCCGATTGCCTCCAACCATCTAATATCATCAAAAGAGAATATATTTCACATAATGAATAAAATGGAGAATGATTACTAGCCATCTTCTGAGAAGTGATATTACTCTCTAGTCATCTACTGTGACCAAACATGGTACTAGAAACAAGAAGGGAGGTAAGTAATTTGACTTGAGTCTTGTACCTTCTGATGCAACAGGTATTACTGATAAGATTTAATAAGTAGTATATTGTATATGACATCTTCTGCAGGAATATTGAATGGAGGGGTGAAGGATCAAATGGAGAAGAGGAGAAATGAAAAATCCTTGTGTGAATCAACATAGAAAAAAATTTAAAAAACAAACAAACAAAAGAAGCACAACTATACAGAACATATGCATATGGTGATTTTAATGTGTATATATTTCGCCATGTCTGCACATCAATTTGCAAATACAAAGTCCCGCAACCAAATATTATCGTGTTTTGTTGTTACACTGATATTCAACAGAAGGAAATATTCTAAGCTTAGAAATAATTAAAAAGTATAATCAAATAATACATTTTCATTACATTAGCATCAACCTCATCAATAAGGCAAATAAACCTTCTATAGTTTTCAATGATCTCTATAACTGATGCTGGTTCGTGACGAAATCTAACAATTAAAATTAATCAATATCTCCACTCATCCCATAATCTAAATATCGATCTCCAACCCAATGATGACCAATGGATGGATATCCTGAAGCTGTACTGAGAAGTCGTGTTCAATGGTGTCCACCTTGTCAAGGTGCTGTGGACCTTCATAGAAGGCACTGGTAAGGATAGCGTTATATCACGAATTGACAAAGTCACAATTCACAGGTCACTGAATTCCGACCTAAGTGGCTGAATGGTCAATGAGCTTGGTCTCGTAACCTGAAAGTCGCGGGGTCGATCCCTGGTGTGGTTGTGGGTAGACACTACTGAAGAGTCCAAAAATAGGACGAAACAACTGTCCAGTGCTCCCTGGATTTCAATGATCTCTCTAACTAATGTCGGTGGGTGACGAAATTCAATTAACTGGAACAGATTGTTCACGTATCAGGTTTATGCACACCACACATTTTGTGAGAGCTAATAATACTACTTAATCTCCCAGGCTGAAGTAGGTAAACAGTGAAGTTTGAACTCGGAACGCATTGGCTGAAAGTCAAATACTTAAGCCAGTGAGCAAGTCACATCTCTAAGGCCTGACTGAACCATAAGTGTTAAAAGGTAACTTAATAAAATGTATGAATAAGAGATATAAAAAAATACACTTTCCATTAATCCCTAAAGTACTGAGTTTAACCAACACTGGATTCACAGTGTTGAATTCAACCTAAGGCTTATTTGCAGCTATCATCTATGATTGTCTTCTACATAAATACTGGGTTGTAACATGAATCTTTTACAAAGTCAAAATAGAGTCCTCAGTTCATTGCATTAGGCTAAAAAATTAAATATTAACGAAAAATCGATTTACTTACATCGACGTGATAATCGTCCAGAACACAGACTACAAAAAAATGAAACAAAGTAAAACAAATGAAGTATTTCAAAGAAATAAGACAAATTTTAGTACTCAAACTTAATAATACACAAGTATTGACCTCACTGATTACAATACATCTCAAGTCAGTTGTCTGATGTACTGTCCTCTGTGCTGGGTTGTGAACCACACTGCTGATATCATGAAATAGGTGAAGATGAAGTATGGAGGATTTCATCATGAGCTGACATCAGTTAGAGAACCACTGGAAAACCTGGGAGTACTGGACAGCTGTTTTGTCCTAGTTTGGGACTCTTCAGTACTCCCAGGTTTTCCAGTGGTTCTCTGACTGATGTCAGCTCATGATGAAATCCTCCATGCAATCAAACAAAATCCCTACAAAACCAATACTTGAAAAGAAGATGAAGTAGTTGAGTTGAAGTTTGTAAACAGAATCTATCAGTATGACGCCAAAACTTTAGTTAATGAAACACAATAGTACTATGATTCCGGTAATTTCAGTTTCCTTCTGTGAAGGAGCATAATTCATTCAGTGTTCTAGGTACGCCTTATTGACAAGCGAAGAGACTCCTTTCAACGAATTTATCATCAAGCTGTACAATCGTATATATATAATATATATATATCCCGTGAGGAAATTTTAACAAAAGTGTGGATACATCAAATAATAATAGTATGAAATGCAATTAAAGTGTTTGTGATTATAATCATAGTTAAATATCAGGTGTCAAGCGGCAAAACAATCTCATATATTGGAATAATTCATAGGATGTATATATGTTGGGAGGGGGTTTATAATTGTAGGGTTAGTAGGCTAATATAAAACGTTACGTAACATGACGTGAAATTTGCTAAGATAGAATTTAACATTGCAAACCAAAAATTTTTGGATTTAGAGTGACAAGTTGGAGAAGTGAAACAGTATCAGAGACAGTTCAAAGTGGGAAGAATAATAGTAATGATCTATATAATAAGGGAAGGATATACAAATTGAATAAACAAAAGGAAGAATAAGTAGGGCCAAAGTATGAATAGGGATTATCATACTTTAGCATAGACAGATTAAGACCATGAGAGCTGGAAGGGTTGAGCAAACTTTTTCTGTACAGACATCTGGCTTTTCTGTTGCGATGACCAAAGCTTCAGTAATACAGATGAGTCGGATACGTAATGATTTAGGCGAATTACTTTTCGCCTTGTAGATGACTTTAAAGGCGGAGGCTGTAGAGATAGGGTGATCATTATCGACCAGATATTCAATGATCACGCTTCTTATAGCTCTACTTCCATCTCTCCGTAACCATGCAGGAGTGTTCTTGCACCCTCTTGGACAAAACCCGAGCCGGACGACCGATATACCTAGCCACAGAGCAGGCGAATTGATAAATACATACAGAGTTGATTGAAAAGAGTCTCTTTGCTGGATCACTTGTTTTGATGTTCATTATGTCCCGATGGGAATTTTCCAAGAATTATTGACAAGTTACAACAAATACAAATTTGAAACGTAAGGTTTTCTGTCAATTGTTCCTAACCACGTGAAATCAAGTCAGGTGCATCACATATTTTAGACTAGTTATCACACTGAGAAACTAATACTTACTCACTATAGTGTATACACAACTGTTATTGCTAGAAATCTTTATACGTGTGTTCTTTTCGTTCAACTGTATCGAAATCGGATAATGAACCTGTAGATACTTATAAACTGAGATGAATATGATGTCTCTTACGATTTCTTATACCTAATTATTTCACGGATTATTGAACTCCAGCCCAGGCAGCTGAATAGTCAACGAGCTTGATGTCGTCACCTGAAGGTCCCAAGTTCAATCCCTTGTGGAATCGAACTGAGATGAAACAGATGTCCAGTGCTCCCTGGTTTTCAATAATCTCTAAGTAATGTTGGTGCGTGATGAAATCTACATTGAAAATAAAGCTATTGCAGTGACGTGGTGGTTGGATTAGCTAGTTACAGTGAACCAATACTTTTTGACTTTGATTCGGCTATCTCCTACGGAAGGATGAGCCGGCTTCATGAACTTCTCAAATCATCGCTACCCAGGCGCAGCAATCTGATGAAGAGAGTTTACGAAGTTTCATGGGAATTTGATACGAGTGATGTCCCCAGAACCACTCGGCCTTTTGTTTGAGAGTGCAGCTCTAGCCTTTACACAACCAAGTGTGACCTACAAGGCAGTAGGAGTGGAGTAGGGAGTCCACTATCCATTGGCAGCCGGTGACCGGAGTTCGGTTCATACGCCTTTTTGAATGGGGCCGGACATCCAGGACATCCAACAAGCCCTTTGTCCATACGTCTGCCGGTGAGCTCCAGTGAGCTTCATACGCCAGTCGTTGGAGGTTTGGAATCAGGGTTTAGCCATCTCCCCTAGACTGTCATCCAATGGACAGTCAACCCGGTGAAGAGCGCCGGGCATCCGCTTTCGCCCTCACACTTTGGTGAAAAACACCTCCGCCACGTGAAGGCAGTGAGTAGGACTTCCTCAGGAGAGGCTATGTAGGACGCCCGGTCATATGGGAGCATTTCAAGAGGTGTGCGGAGGGGTGGCCAACCCGCAGCGCAAGGCACCCACCCCCGACCATCCTGAGGCTTTGGAGGCCCAATGAGATATACTTTTCAAAAGAATTGCTCAAACGGGTTTCACTATACTAGGATACTCACAAGATTACAAGTATCTATCATCACGATGTAAATTACTTTCAATACGGTGAACGAAGTCATATCACCAATCAAAAGGTGTGTGAAAGAATTGAAGTAATTTGCTTGGAAGACTAGAAAGACTGATATGTTGCTTTTCTACTCTGAAGTGTTAAACATTTTTTCCCTTAACGATGGTATACAGAGACTTACTCTACAGTGATCTATAGCCGGTGATATGGTTCTTGGGGTCTGACAGTGAGCGGACATCTCCTAGGTTTTACTGTCATATAAAACTAATGATGCTTAGACGTTAGGTATTCTATAGAGAAATCGACTGCTATATTAAGGAAAGCCTTGAAGTAATACCATTTAAAAGACTTTTATCGGCCCATAAAGTTCATCTGCTCATCAGTTAACCTAGTCATTTATTCCTTTCAATGTTCTTCAATGTCTGTTTTTATTACAAATACTATACACAACACAGTTTCTTCACATTCTCTTGACTCTAAGACAATTGCTAACACGGTAAGCCAGTAAAATCCATGTTTAGCCTTATAAAACAATGCTCTCAAGTTTATATCGGAGCTTTCAACGTCCAAAACCTGCATCAAATTGGACAGCAGGCCTCACTAGCCCGAATTCTGACATTTCAAACTATGAATGTGTTATGCCCCTGAAATATACATTCAAGACCCAAGTGTAATTATTCCTTTAACTCAATTTCACCAACCAAAGTATCTGAGAAATGCATACTGTGTCATGGCATTATATTGTTATTTCTCGTAGACTTTCTGGTATAGCAATAGCATTAACTTCTAGAACAGAATCCTCACTGATCGACTGGATTTCACTAAACAGTCACGTATGTGTTGTTCAAATAGATGAGTTCTAAAAACAAGGTAAAGTTCTGATACTTATAGATGTCTTCCCTTAATATGCACTTGTATACTCAATGACTGCAGTTTGGATGAAATGGAGGGTGAGTTTTACTAGAAGCTATCCAGTTTTCTGGAAAAAAGATTAAGACATTTAGGCATAGCTATAGTGGCACGTAATTCTAATGCATACGTAGAAAAACTTTTTCAATGAATCAATAACCCATATTTCCTGTAACAATTTTGTCCAGTCAACAACCCGTTCACGTTTAGTAGTAAATTCGAATATAAGAAGGAATAATGTCTCGTTTGACTGTTATCACAACTAAGTCAATGACAGACATAAGAAGACGGCTTCGTTTCAAATCACTTATGGGAGGAACTATTAAACCACTTCTGTTTCTTTTAGAACAGACGTCGATAATAGAAACACTTCAGTTATTTAGGCTTATCAAGTAAACGGGAATGAACATGACTAGAAGGTGAAACTATCTCTGAGGTAGGTAGAACTTCAATAATTTTCTAGAAGAGACACCTGAGACGCTGGATGAAACACTGTAAGAAGAATTTCCGTCGGCCTGAAGTTGAATTATAGTTGTTCATCATATAACTCCAGATCGAATGTTGTGAGGAATCAGGTACTCAAAAGCTCTTGACGACATTGTGTACCACTAAAAAAGACAAAATACTCTGAAACTTCCTACGGATGACGGCAATAAAATGACTGAGGTAATAGTTGTAGTATAAAAATCTAATGTAAGCCCCAAGAGACTGGCTCGAAAGTTAATCATCCCAGTGATTGCCAGTGGAGGGTTGACCTGGGTGACACGATAGTCATACCACTAGTTAGCCCTGAAAAAAAACCTGAGAGGACCTCACGATGGTGCATTCATAACCATAAGATCTAGAATATTAATATACTTATTTGTGTTTGACAACTGTCATATTTCTTGAAGAATTGACAGCAGTATTCAACTCCACTGGTCGCAAGATGCTGCAAAAATGTTTGACTGTAAACGAAGTCCTGAGAAAACATGTAGCGCTAGTCAGGGCCTAATGAAATTCATGATACAGTGAAGGAGCTTAATGAGTTATTGGATATATCATACAGTGGAATGGCGCTATTTACTGGATGACGTTTCTTACACAATTTATTGTTCATAATCACTCAATAAGTAAACCGCGTTTGAAGCGTCATCTACTAAATAATAATATTCCTCTGTGTGATATAATTCGTCGGTGGTTCAATGATAGAATGATCATCTACCACGTATGTGGTCTGGGTTCTATTCCCAAACGACGCACTCCTAAAACTCGCTTAGATGGTAGTAAGCACGTTGGGGGGTGAAAGATTGGACGTAAGACTAGAGATCCTTACCCCTTAAAAAAAGCTTCACCACTACTGAAGCTTTAGAAATCAAGCTTGATACTGTATGTTCCATTCGGAACTCAAAGAAGTGGAAACAACTGTGATACGCGTGGAATGACATAATACACAGATATTAGCTTAATGAGTTGGCTATCTTCTGTAATGACTCCCTTTTTAATCAGTTCCATCACACCTATACTTTTTGGGTGACTTTGTTGCACCATTTCCTCGAAATTCACTCGCAGTAGGGAAAGGAACTGATTGACTTGGAGTACACAGATGATATAATCGGTCTGTTCTACATTATGAATGGGAGACATGACCAATGGAAGCAGAAAATGTTGCTTTTTAGACCATAACTGTCTTCCTAATATTGTTTACGTTAGTTAGAATTACATGGCATGTGATGGTGAAATCAAACGAAGGATACCAGGTGAGAAAAACAAATCAGTCGACAAGCTAATGAAAACTGAAAAACCAGAGTGGTTAAGGAAAGTGTTACCCATGTCAACCTACCACCTTTCTTAGCAAGCTGTATTATCTGACTCAAGACAGCTTCGGAAACGAATGAAGTGTAGTGAGATAAAAAAAAGTGATATCGATCCATGAAGCCTTTACTTTTGGAATCAGCCATATGTAGATTATGTAGCTTGACTTGTTGGGATCTTGACAGTCAATAGTCAGAAAGTCAGTGATATTACACAGTCATTCGCAGTGAAGTAGACGTATTCATTCTTCGTAACCGTCACTTTTACTGAAGCTAATAAAGTTCGAAGTGGGAGAGAAGTGAAAATAGCTTCAACATAACTAAACTAAGTATAACATTAGTGTTAAGATTATGAGGTACTCATTTAAAGCAAAGTTCTTCTCAATGAGATCATAGAAACGAATGATAAAAAGCTACATTTATCTTTACTGTATTTCAATTTATTAATCACATCTGTTAATTCTCCTTTTTTCTTTAATGAGCATCTAAGTGATAACTCGATTCGGACGGATAATCTGTGTGTCAATCACATTTTACAAATAATCAAAAAGCCCAACCATTATAAGTCTTGATTCCGTGTACACAGCAATAAAAGCATTAGAGGATTCACTTGGCTAAACTTTAAAAATGAAAAAAAAAACAGCCTACATTTTATAGTTTGATGCAGGAAATTTTCAATTAACACTTAAAACACGACATTAACATAAATAAATAATCATACCTGTAGTCAGAATCCATTTCATTATCAATATGACAGCTATCAGATGAACGCGGATTTTCTACAGTTGACCGTGATTTTGAAGATTTATAAATATTAATATCATTTAATGGAGTGGGTGAATCACGTTTATTATGATTTCGTAAATGATTATTCATTTGATTGATATTTACATATAAAGGTTCTGGAGAATTAGAAGAATAATAACTGTTGACTGGAGAACGTGAAGATCTTAACGGTGAATGACGAGGTGAACAACTAACAGATCGATTAAAATTATTAGTAGTATAAGTTGAATGAATACGGTCGTATTTTCCATTAATCTTAGAATATTGTTGTGTTTTACTCATAGACTCTAAACCAGATTCACATGATGAAAATACTGGTGATGAAGTTCTGGAAGTACGTGCAAATCGTGTATAATTAGTATTTTTAGCTTCAGAATTATATCGATGATCTAAATTTGAAGACGATCTTGATGCTGTACCAATCAATGATTGACGATGTGCCAATTTTCTAGGGATTGGAACAAAAGAAGTAACTATGAAATAGTAGATTATAGTAAAACTATTACAAGAAACTTCCCTGTAGGTATGTCTTAACATTTATAACCACAGGTCAAGGTGATTTCGCCACAGTTTCCTTTGGAAATCGAGATTACTCAGATCACAATGTGTGATCAGCTTGATACCATAAATGGTGATCAGGAAACTAAGCATAAATGCATAACAGCATATACTACTGATTGGTTGAAATGGAATAGTTGCGTACAGCTCACATCAGCCAGTAATGCTTGCTGGCCAGGTCGAAGTGATCTAAACACCAGACGGCTGTTTCGCTCGTTTCAGATCGAGCTCATGAGCGATGTAGCCAGAAATCGGGTGGTTTGAACTGACTCGGTTCTCTGAGCTGAGTCGAACCGAGTACACTGCTCATTACCTCCGCCCTAAAAGAGCGAAACAGCCGTGCGGTGTTTAGGCCATTTCGATTTGGCTAGCAAGCACTGCTTGTTGATATGAGTGGCATACCACTACTCATCTCAATCAATCGGTAGTATATACTTATAATAAATAACTGACTTAGTAAAAATTAACAAGATACAAGACACAACTTACAGAGAGATGGGAAGTGAGTAAATATTGAAAAGGTGTTTTGTTTATCTTTTGTATCACGCACCAACAGGATAATACGTTATTCTAACTACTTTTTACATATTTTTAGTTAGGTGATACATGTTTTGTTTGGAAGTCAAATATATTATTTAGATAATTATATTAGTTTTGCTGACGTGGTTTTAAACGCATCCGATAGATTAGCCATCAAGCCTGATGTTATTTGGTTGATAGTGGCTAACAATGAAATTCAAGATGCACATTTCATCCTATTTCGAACTCATCATCTGAATGGATACACCCTCATTCCTAGACAGTATTGATGCTCCCAATGCGACTCGAATCCAGTACTCATTGTTCCAAATACAAAACGTTATAATGTTTTAACGCCTTTGCATTGTAAGTGAAACACACAGCTCCAAGCTTGGGCTTTGGAGTTTCTGTAGCAGTGGCCTTTCTTTCCACGAGGTGGAGTTGCTAGCCTTATGCCCAACCTTCCCCCTTTACCAGTCTTACCACTGGCTTAGTGAGGTAAATGAGTGAGTCGGCGGGGAATCGAACCCCGGACCACCTGCGTGGTCGGCGAGCACTCTACCACTGTGCCATCGACGCACACAAAGCGTTATGATGGACAAGATTTATAGCTCAGGTGGATGATATTAGTGTATTCTACGTTAGATGACTGATTTGCAAAGCCTTCACTGTCTTTTTAGACATCTTAAGCGGAGACTTCAACATGAAGTGATCTTTTTTCATTCATGAATGAATGATATAACTATCTTTCCTGATGACCCTGAATTTGATTGACTGGTAGTTTTCTATTAGTATTCATCATTTCATTGAACTGGAATTTGTGATATTGTAATGATAGAAGACAAGAGGCTTGGTAACGGAATGTTTATTTGGAATTTGATATCTCTATATACGGAAATTATGTACACCTTTTCTGAAAATCGTCATTTGCACAGATCTCGCGTGTTGTGCTAATTCTGCCCTTCGTATTGTGCTTCTTTTCATGTCTCCCGTGTCTTACCACAACGCTAAATCATTCAATCACTTTGACGTCAAATCTATCCCTTCGCTATTTGATATATTTGTGCCATCGAACGTATCTTTATATACTACTGATAAATCTTGTCAGTAGCACACGCCACAGTATGACGTATTCTTTATTAGTTGATAGATTTGATCTATGTTAATGTGTCTCCTGTTTGAATTTCCCCATGATTGATTTTATTGTTAACAGAAACGAAACGTTTTGGTCCAGTAGAAACAATCAACGAGAAATTCAGAATAATAATTTCAAAAGATAGTCATTAAGTCACTGAATAACCGTCGATGACTAAACATTACACAATATATTATTATCATTCTTCTCTTATAATCCAAGTGGAACAAGGATTTTCAGTAACACACCTCTGCTGCATTCTGTTCTATGGCATCGGTTTTAGCTGGCTTCAAGACAGGCTGCATGCTTCAATTTCCTCTTTACATGATCTCCTTCATGTCACTCTTGCATCCACATCCATTTGGATTCTACTTTAGGGTCTGGTGTGCAGTGTTATTTGAATTTCTCCTCAGTGTACGTCTAACTCGTCTCCATTTCCTTCTGCATATTTGTTGGGTAGTAGGTTTTTGGTTAGTACATCGTCAAAGTTGCTTCTTGCTTGTCCTTTCCGGCTGGTCATCTGGCAGTGAAGGCACTTGTTGAAGGAAGTCTGCAGTTTGTTGGAAATGTTATAGGTAACGCCCCAAGTCTCTGAACTGTATAAAAGTGCTGAGTTGACATTAATGTTAAAAGTGTGGATCTTGTTCCTTATGCTAAGTGCTGTCGATATCCATAGTGATAGTAATAAACGTCTGCCTTCCTTTTCTGACGCCTGTCATTAGGACGACGCTGCCCAGTTAAGTGAAAGAGACGACTTCCTATACACTTCTTCCATTGATGGTAATCGGTACTCATTTTTGTTGGTGACCGAGTATCTGCATCACCTTTGTCTTTTCTATACTTACCTGAAGTAATACCTTCACTACCTCTTCCGCCAATTTGCCTGTAAATCCTCGAGTTTGTAAGATATTGGGCATAAATCATCCACGAAGTCCAGATCTTTTGAAACCTTTCTGCCAGCCTATCATATACCCATTTTTTCACTTCCAACTACCACATGATCCAGTCTACCACAATCAGGAATATCATCGGTGATAGTAGGTAGCCTTGTCTTCACTTCAAAAGTTTCACTAGGCTTTCTGTTGTGAATTAATGAACGTTATACATCACTGAAGCATAAATCAGGTTATATTACACCTACTATTAATGAGCTACAAAGTGATATGTTCAAAAGTAAATTATTTCGTCTTATTCATGAAACAGAAAACGCTTCTACATAGTCATATAAGTATTGCAAAAGTGCCATGAATGATCTTTGACTTTCCCAGTTCAACGTCATAATTAAAACAATCAATAGACTGAGCATAACGATAATGATAACTATCAACCAAAAAGTAAGCCAAGAACTGAACGATGTCGAATGTCACACAGACTCGAAGACTTGCCGGTGAAAACCAACAAACTAGTCAGAGAAGCAGTCAATGGAGACAGGACTCCAGGTGAACATAGAGAAGACGAAGATGATGAAGATAACCAACCAACAGCAATCACCATCAACAGGTGAGATTTGACAGAGGTTATTTCCTTCACTTATCTAGTCAGCATCGTTTCAACCACAGACGACGGAACGGATGAAGATGTCAAAGCTGGCCAGAATCGGAAAGGTAAGGTACGCCTTCATCAACCTGAAACCAGTTTGGAAGTCTTCTTCACTCCGCCTCAGAATAAAGATCAAGATTCAGATTTTCAACATAAATGTTAAGTCAGTCAGTTCTTCTATAGGGATCAGAAACTTGCACTGCGCATCACGAAAAGCATTTCCAACAGGTTACAGGCGTTTATCAACAGCTGCCTTAGCTGCATACTGAAGATCGAACGGCAGGCCAGAAAAAATTAGCAACAAGAAACTATAGGAACGAACTAACCAAGAACCTTTCGTTCAACAAATATGTAGGAGAAAATGGAAATGGATTGGGCACACATTGAAGAAACCGTCGAATGACATCGCACACCAAGCTATTGCTAGAGTGAAACCCGAATAGGAAACGATAGGTGGATTGTCTTAGGGTGACATGGAGAAGATCGTGCGAGGAGATGAGAGATTATGGGCAACCATAGGCCCAGATGAAGGGAACAGCAGAAAATAGAAGAAAGTGGAGATGTGTTGTTGAAGCCTTATGTTCCACTCAGAACCCAAGGAGGCAATAATAATAATAAACTGTTTTTTAACAATCTGAAAGAACAATTACTATATATGTCTAACGTCTCCTGATGAAGCAAAACAATCCACCGACCATACAGTAAAGAAAGTTATAACAGATTAAATGACTTACCGTTTAAGAGCATTCTCTTCTCGTTGCCTTTCTTTTTCTCTAACATAAGCAGTTGGATCAAATCGACGATTACTTCCTATCGGTTTCATACATAACATACACATGCACAGAAGAAAGATGAAAAGAAATTAACTACTCTTTCCAAGATGATTATATGAAAGTAGGAGACCAGTTGGTCCTTTCTACATAATATTACAACAAATGAAAGCTTTTGGTGCAATAATAATACAAATGATGAGTGACACATATAAGGCAAACATTTAATTTAAAACTCTCAGTTGTTCATTTGTAACTTCCTTCACTTAGGTGGGTTTAACAATAACTGTATTCGTAAAATTCGAGATAATTCACGTCAGTATGCCACCTCTTTATCTCAAATTCATCGACTTTGAAAAGGCCTTCGACAGTGTCGATCGAGAGGTGATTTGGTAACTACTTCGCTACTACGGGGTGCCACCGACAATTATACATCTCATCCAACAGCTGTACGACAATGCTGCATGCCAAGTCATCCACAACGGGAAACTCACGGAACCCTTCGAAGTGAGGACAGGAGTAAGACAAGCTGGCTGCCTACTATCGCCAATGATTTTCCTGATTGCAGTAGACTGGATAATGCGACAAACAGTGGGCAATGAGGAAACAGGCATAAAATGGACTCACACAAAAAACTTGGAGGATCTGGACTTCGCCGATGATATATGTCTGATTTCCCACAAACTGGAAGATATGCAAGCGAAAAGCAACAAGTTGGCAGAGGAAGCATCCAGAGAATATAGGCCTTCAGGTGAACATAGAGAAAACAGAGGTGATGAAGATTCCTGGGCAACACCACCAACAGCAACAACAACAGACAACAACCAGCATAAATGGGAGGAACCTAAAAGAAACAACCTCTTTTACCTACCTGGGAAGCATCGTTTCAACTACAGGCGGAACTGACGAGGATATCAAAGCAAGAATCGGGAAAGCTAGACAAGCTTTCATTACTCTCAAGTCTCTGTGGAGGTCAACAACACTCAGTATCAAAAATAAGATCCGGATTTTCAACTCCAATGTGAAGTCAGTCAGTGCTACTATACGGATCAGAGACTTGGCGCGTCATAAAGAGCATCCCGAACAAACTACAGACCTTCATTAACAGTTGTCTACGCTCAATACCTCGCTCAAGATCAGATGGCCGGCCAGAAAAGATCAGCAACAGGGGTCTTTGGGAGCGAACCAACTCAGCAGGAACCGATTGTGAAACAAATAGGCAGGAAGAAATGGAGATGGATTGGCCATACTTGAAGGAAACAAACTATCAAGTGACATCACTAGACAAGCCATTGCTCGAGTGGAACCCGACCGAATGGGAAGCGGCGAGTTGGTCGTCAGTGCAAGGGTGACTTGGAGGAGGTCATGTGAAGAGGAGATGAAAGCGTGTGGGCAGACATGGAGCCAGGTGAAGACTCTAGCAGAGAACAGAACGCAATGGAGACGCACGGCTGAAGCCCTATGTTCCTCTAGGAATTAAAGGAAATAATAATAATAAACATCATTATCAGTTGAAAAGAAAGTGATTAAGGGAAAAAGCAAGGGTGAATGATGCGAAATTTAGCAGTGAATCAGAATCATATGCAGTAGATAGTCAGCTATAGCCAAGTTATTAAAGCTAGTTAGGGTCGGATGATGAAGACTAATAACTGCCATATAAAAAGTTAAATGACCAAACTAATATTAGTTACAGCTTCACATAAACAATAGGTAGATTAGAAAGTTCGCAAAGTTTTTGCAAAAATATCAGTGCGATTAACTGCATGAATTGTAGTGCACAATGATTTTACAACACTGCCTAATATTTCAATAGAATTTAGATTGTGACAATACTTACCCATCATTTTGAGTTATTCACCGAAATTCCTCAAAGAATTTCATTGACAATGAGCATAATAATAAACATGAATGAATATTTTTTATGATTCGATGATAGTTAACATTTTATGTGAATATAATTTGAATATTTACACAAAAGATACTAAGTCACATTAGCTGTAACTAGACTATTTTGTTATTCAGATACTGGTTTGCTGAGATTTGAATAGTCGCAGGATTTTATCATGAGCTGACATCGGTTAGAGAGCCATTGGAAAACGTGGAAGTACTAGACAAATGTTCCGTCCTAGTTTGGGACTCTTCAGTGGGGTACAGCGGGTCGGGTGTGAGAGCAAATACTTGCCAGTGATATTAGCTAGTGGTCGCGCTACATCGTGAATTGGGCCATTGGGTCTGGTTCCAGTGCCTTAATGGTCTAAGAGTTCACCTTGTGACAGGAAGGTGCTGGGTTCAAACCCCGGCGGGTGAGAACTAATGAGGAGCCTCAAACTAGGATGAAACAATTGTCCAGTACTTGTAGGCTTTCCAATGGTTCTCTAACTGATGTCACCTCATAATGAAATCCTGTAGACTACTTTGTAGTGAATCGTTGTTTGGTTGTTAACAGAGACCCCTTAAATAACTTTAAACCTCCACAGAAATTCATCAATAACTCATACCTCTCAAGAAACGTATACCTTTTCTTAAATCTTAGGCCCTCTCAACTTCATAATGCGATCAAATTTTACAGAAGGACATTTCACCCTGACATTTAAAGGAGAGATGAGATCAATAAATCTGTTATGTAGTACGTCTTATTCTCGTAGGTAATAGTAGTCAAGACTTCATGTAAGTATCCAAATAGCTTAGTAAAGTAGTATTCCGGTACAGTTCCAGTAAGAACAAAACTAAGTACAACATGCCTACCAGTCAAGCTATGCTTAACATAACATAACTACCGTCTATAAATGTGTGAGGAGAACATTTTACAATTCCAGTCTTATTGATTTCGGAGATTACAGTCTCTCAAAAGTTCTTCAAGCGTCTTTTTAATTAACTGATTTATGAGAAACAAGTCGATTTACCATTCAACCTGGACAGAAAGGTTGTCTGATGGTATAATTTACAGATGAACTGAAATCACCTCAAAGCCTGCTTCAATAACAATCGATTAACAACAGTATAATTGTGAAGTTGGGGTGTTTTAGAATAAATCTTAGAAGTCAAGGGTCTGAACGTGCAAACAGTTTGTTAAGATGACTAACTAGCCTGATAAGCGTGTCTGTGGACTACCGATTGTTTTTTTCAAAATTACTTTTAAATTGATAAGCGTCTATTACCTGTTAATACAAGTCACGTTGGCTAAACAGTTGGAGGATGTGTGTAGTGAAGTCAAATTTCCAAATACATTTAATGACATATGCTTCACAAACTTTACTAGATAACAATACGCGACAGTATAAAGTACCATTCAGTCTCAAAAAATTTCGAAAAACTGACTTATAATACCTAAATAAGTTGAAAACAAAGTGGAAAAATGTTTTCTTTTCGTCGACCATATATCCAAGGATCTGTGTGATTACAAATTCACATTCTGGAAACGTTTATCTGTACACATAATACAAAATCTTACTTCAGAATTCTACACTATCAGTTGCTTATCGTGAAGCCAATACGTGAAGAAAGAATGGAATGTCGTTGTTGACAATATGCTTTGTTTCAACTAATGTGGGAGAGACTGCATGAAACATACCATGCTTACACTTTGTGTCTTTTATCTTTAAAACTATCACAATAAAATGAAGCTACATGATGCTTTATCTTAATTAATTCTACCCAGTATATAATTAAAACGGCATATATAAAATTGAGATGACAAATTGTACAGAAATAAAACGATTATAAGTAAAAAGCAAGTACCTGATAATGCTCTATCTAAGGAATTAGTTCGATGTCTACCATAGTGGGATGACTTGAAGCAGGCAGTATTAGAAGTGTTAGATCCATGTGAAGCTGATCGGTATATTGTTGGGCTGGCACTACCAGCTCTGCGAGTTAGCTTGTTTAATTTGGTATTTAAAACTGATGAGATCGGTTTTTGATTTAAACAATTTTTCTGATATCGTGACATTGTATCATATTGATTGGAACGAATCAATTGACCTGATGGGAAGTCACCAGTTATCCTATGTACTGACCTTGAAAGAGAAAAAGCAGAGTCCAATACAATAGACGGTAATTGAAGACGAGTGTTACGATATGAAATACACTCAAGTATTCTCAGAGTAAAGTATATCTCAGCCAGGAATCAATCACATCACACAAAAATTTGATGAAAAACAACATACTACTACTTTGATTATTTTCGTATTCTTATTTATTGAATCACTCTCTGAGTTGAGAAATATTCATATCCCAATTAATAAGGCTGTTTTTTTGACAAAGAATACACAAATTGATTATTATAACAAACAACTGACAGGCTGAATTAGATCTCTTTAGAAGATACCTGATACATCGTCTAATCATAATTTAATGATTGAGTCGACTCACTATACCGAAGCAGTATGCCTGGGAGATGGTACTATAGGATTTACCTCCAGAAACACAGCAAGTCCCTTTTGATGCATTTTCATTTCATGGCTCTCATTTAGGTTTGTTAAGACTAGTTCTAGGGTAGATTTAGCTAAGTTGAGGGAGAAAACTGAATTAAAATTTCACGAGTTTCAGGATAGACAGAAGTCGGAAGTCTGACGTTCGCGAAAAACTTTGGGAAGCATGGATGCTGCTGTGGATGCCGTTTGGCTTGTTATTCTAACACTAACACGTATTCTAAAGCTGAATGCTGATGCCATTGCCAAATCAGAAATAAAGCTTTTGTAATTGAAGTATAGATGGGTACCTTATGTGAACTATTTAGGCATTACATTAATTCATATAGAACAACCATCCATTTGTATTTTGAGATGATCATGTTCACACCATAAAGCCCACTTGTCATCACTTAAACTCTAGAACGAAGAGAGGAAGATTATGCCGCTTCAAGGAAAAGCATTATAGGGTCCACAACTCCTCAACCAGTAGAAATGAAAACGAAAGATTCACTGGACTCTGATACCATGAAGATAATGGAGGACACTAACAATCTAATTTTAATGAAAGACTCATGTATTACAACTACCTCTACCACAACACAGAATAAGGAGGTTAGGGTTCAGAAAAGCCTTCCAACTGAGTTGTAAGCAAATCATTTGAAAACTAACCAAAATGGAGTGCACTTTGCTTTGCCCCAGAGTTACAAACAGCCTCTAGAAATTGGTGTTAATCGAAAGCATCAGCAGCATTCATAGGTTTTATCGCATATAACTATCTTTTTGCTACCGTTGGAAGATTTTTGGAGTTGCGAATCACTCCAGGAAGAATAATAGCTCAATTGGTTCCCAGGGTTCGGACAAGAATACTTCAGTTTTACTCGTTACAACTCAGCTATGTAAATCGAGTTAGTATACTTGATGACTACAGTTATACTATGATTAAATTCACTGACTGATTTTTGATTCAAAAAAGTAACTGCATTAATTTACTCTTAAAATAACAAATTGACTTTCAGTTAGTATAAAGTTTCAGTTCGCTGGTAAGGCTGACAAGCTTAAAAAATAACAACGACAAAATGAAGTGTTACCGCGTGACTTGAAAGACGCCATAGTAACCCCAATCCACAAAAGGATATCAAGACAATGCCCTTCAAACTACAGGACTATTAGTCTCACCAGCACCTTAATGAAGACTGGAAAACTGTGACCAGACAGCTAGTCCTTGTCTTAAAGGGGATTTACATATTCTAGAAAGGGTTCAAAGGAAGGCAACACATATGATTTCTGGCATGACTAATTCTATCATACGAGGAAAGACTAGACAGTTTAAATCTTTTCCCCCTATCATAGCGTAGACAGAGAGGAGATTTAATTGTTTAAAATTTTAAATAGTGACTACGGACCTGATTTATCCTCGCTTTTCCTTCACACCAGGTCGGAACACCTTAGAGAACATAGCAGGAGAGTTCGAATGCCAAGAAGAAATCATATTGCTGTTGAGTACTTGTTCTCTCACAGAGTCATAAACACCTGGAACCGACTCCCAGAAGAAGTGTTGTCAGCAACCTCAACTGACTCATTCAAGAAGGGTTTGGACAAGCACAGAAATGTACTAGAAAAGGATTAACGTAAGCTTAAAGCCTTCTATCCTCAATCAACAAATCTGAAAAGTTTCTGTTTCAAACTGTTTCCTTTCTACTTAAGCAGTAATTAGTAGTAACGAAGTTTTTATACAGTTTCCAATAAATTGGAAGAAGTGAATGATTAGGTTGTTTAGAGATCCAACTCGTTAACCAAGTGAACTATACATCATCGAGAACAAATAAAATTAATCCCGTAAGTGAAAGATACCAATTCGGTTATGAAAAGTCCCAACCTTGATAACCATGCTGGAAATATTCATTATTTCAAAAATGGTTTCGAAAATTAAACGCTTGGTGTAAAGTTCACACAAACTCAAAAAAAACACTAGACTTAGAGGGATGTGCTGTGAACTGTAAATTAAAGTTATGTCTTCCGATTTTAATTCATTGGATTCCTCTGCATGTATGTTATCAACAGTCCCTATCAGTAACAGCTTGTCAAATGGATAAAGGTACGTTCAGTTTTCTTTCTCAATCTATAAATCCTGATAAAATTTAGACTGTTAACCGAAATCTGTGAAAAAAATGAGTTCATGTTATCCTGCTACTGTCTGATGTTCTTGATCTGTTAAAATTCACTATGTAGCCACTGGATGCTAACCAAAATGGCTTACAAATCAAAAAATCGAAATATACACACCAGGTGTGCAACGCAATCATTAGGCTAAGCAGGATAATGAAATGACTTAATATTAAGTGATGGGGAAGGTAAGGTGGCACGAAACCTTGAGCTTAGGTCTTCGATTTGTCGACGGTGTGCACCTATAAACTAAAGAAGATTTACATCCCTTGTAACATTTGAAATTTCACTGTTCAGTGAGTCAGCCAGCAATTTCCCCACTGAACAATTCATTAATCTAAACAGTTCTTGACAGGTCACTGGGATTTCATCTTAAATGCTTATTCAAACAGTGAGACATCATGATTCTAAGATACATAAACCAAAATGCTTTATAAAACGACAGGTACAAAAGTACAGTACAGTACAAATGACAACGTTAATATAAGCCTTTTAAGTTTACCAGAAATTAGTAACTAGTCTTCCGAGCACTTCAGCTAAATCTGCTTGTCATATATAAATTGAAGCACAAGCAGAGAAGCCAGGTATTCTCTATTTTAGTCTAGTTAAGTTGTGCTATATGGAACAACTCCGAGAAAAGCAACTGATAAGATGGTTTGGGCATGTTAAAAGTCTTAATATTTAATAAAATCAAAGCAAAAGGTAAACACATAAAAGTGAAATAATACGTAAGCATAACTAAATTATTTACAATGACATAAGTGTAATTCATAGGACTATAGGCTGCAGACTTTCATCAACAGCTGTCTTCACTGACTCCAAACTGAGGATCAGAGAGCTAGAAAGGATAAGCAACAAGTAAATCTAGCAACGAACCAACCAAGGATCTATCGCCCAACAAATATGCAGAAGGAAATGAGGATGGGTCGGATACAAGTTGAGAAGACTGTTGATTGACATCACCCACACACGCCAGGCTCTCGAGTGGAACCCGAATGGGGGACGGCGAGTTGGGCGTCTGAGAGTGACATGGAGAAAATCATGTGAGGAGGAGATGAGAGCTTATAGGCAGTCGTGGAGCCAGCCGAAGACGACTACAGTGGACAGGATGAAATGCAGATGGGCTGTTGAAGATGTATGTTCCACTTGGAACTAAAGGGAATAATAATAATAGGCGTAGAATGAACAACCACAATTGCACTCTTGTGACGAATAAAGTAACTGTCTTAAAAAGTAAAGATGACTATAGGACCCTGATGTGAAGGAATAAGACAGTCGCCAACTTTGTAATTCGAATTCATATAGTGAATAATAATCACATACAAATTAGGCAGTGTTTTCGGAGACGATATACACCATAAAGTCAAAAACAAGGTTTTTAATGAACGAATTAATCTCACATCTGGTTTATAATACACTTTTTTCATTGCAATGGAAGCTACTGGTTCTGTTCGGCTCTGTGACTTTAAGTGTTATTTTCGTGAGATGATACAGTCTTCCAAGAATCAAAAGTGTGCCTGTTACATAATATTTTGCCAAAGAACAACCACTAAAATTTTATCTATTGTCAAACATAGATCGCATAATACACCGAATAAACTTTCATGAAAATCACTTCCAGGTAAAAACATTTTCTATTAAAAGTGGCAGAATTCAGTCTTAAATATTCATTTTCTCCTGTCTACAATGAAGAATCCTACATTTAATGCAAAAACCAACTTACCCGCCTTTTAGGAAGCATAGTTCCTCAGACAGCTGGTTGACTTTACGACGCAGTCCTCTCTGGTCTATTGTTGCAGCCTCTAAATCTGCCTGTAGTCGAGCTATTTCACGAGTATACTCAACCATCTGGCGAGACGACTTAGATCTTTCTTCGAAAAGTTCTGTTTCCAAACTGTTCACCAAGTCTTTAAGGCCCAATTGTTTTAATTTTTCGGAATATGGATGGGAATCATAGTGAGAATGATTTTTTTGGTTGGCTTTCATTTGACTTAGACATTCTTTGACATAACGAAGTTCTTGCTTCAAGGCCGTATTTTCTGATTGCAACTTAGTTATTCTAAGAGTAATCAAGAGTCAAAATGTTAATTTTTAAGGACCTTACCATTGAAATATGATTTCATCATATGCTGCAGAATTTATTTATACTCAGAAATGCATAAAAATCCTGTAGTCTCTGATACTTTCGCAGGACTGCATAAAAATGGTGGAGATTTTAAGTCGATAAAAAATACTTGCTTTATTGCATACTACCTCAAAGGGAGAAACCTTATACCATAAGTAGACCAACCCTACACACACACAAACGAAAATAAAGGTTGTATACTAATGAAGAGTCAACTTGTGAAAATATAGCTCAGTGGGTGGGATTTGCTTGCGCAGGTAGCACCGTTTGTTGTATGACGCTACATACCACTGAATTTTCGTACATAGTTTTCGGTGTCTTGAATTTTCAATAGCGACTGGATTGAGTCTGCGGAGTAGGGTCGCCAGCTCTACATTCAGCTTTACCTCTTTATCCAGACTTAGGACCAGCTGGTAAACTTGTGAACTTATCCGGGCAGCATCGTTTTAACTACAGATGGCACGGATGAAGATGCCAAAGACAGAAATTCAGAGTTCCGATTACTCAGAATAATTTAATTGCAAATATCTCCAGAAGGTATGGGATTTCAAGGTTTTAAATATTGCAACAAATGTGCGTCTTTCTGCAGTATATTCAGTAAAAATTAGGTTTATAATACAGAAATCAACCTATAAAGCTATAAGGATCATCTACACTTTCTGAAAACCTTACTAGAACAGTTTGAACAGATTAGAAACAACCATTTCCAGCATGCCTATGTTTGTTAGTGTTAACATACCAAATGATAAATACATTTCAATACATCAAAATCTGGAGTTTAAGCATTAAATAGCAGATAAGAACTATCAGTTCCAAGATTTAAACACCTTAATAAATATTTTTGGGAAACAAATCTAACTACTCAAGTAGTTAGACAGGCTACATGTAGGACATGTTCACTACTATCCTGGAGGCATTTACTAATGAAAGCATAAATAAACCTTACTTTGTAAGCGCATTGTACGGTTCTGGACCACTCGACTGCTGCTCAAGGATGCTCTACAGCTGTAATGATAAAACTTCAGATTTACCATGGCTGGGTGATTGTTATACAGTTTGACTCTTAATTCATGGATATTATTACGATAGGTGTCTGGAGATGGGCAGCCAAAAAACATCAAAGGGATGGGGTAATGAATCTTGTCAAACTCAGTGGTGTATGACAAAATCAAATACCGCTTATTCCCTTTAGATAAGACAGGAGACTGAGGGACTGAATAGTCGTTGATTATTCTAGACTTTCTGATTTCACTCAGATCTTCGTAATTCAGTAAATCCAATTTGAGGAAACTGGAGCGCTAAAATTTGAATTTGTCATGACGTAATTTTATGAATAAATCACAAACCTTGCATATAGCTGATTGTATCATAGAGCAAAAGACGTCAAATTTCTTAAAATTTCCAGTCTTTCTGGTCAGTTCTTCAACAACTATATGGTAAAGTGTCAAGTGGATATTTAACCAAGAATTACATGTATTACTCAGCGTTGCATGCCATTCTTCAAGCGTAATGCGATCAGTTATTTCTATTTTACCATGCGATATGTCTTCTACGTAAAATACTACGTCATATTTCCTGCCGCTGAAATCATATTCATTATTAAGATAGGGTAGATGTTCGGAAACCATTCCTATTGGATAACTAGTATTCACCGCTCATACTCTAACACATATTACCAAACAGATAACCTTACAATGACCCAGTAAAACACACTATAATTTGTTCATATTTCCTTGTTAATTTTTGGCATACGGAACAATAGTATAAGAAGAAGATTAAATTCTCTTAACCAGGATTTAAGTTTTTGGGGCTTTGTCTTTTAATTTACTGTGCATCGGTATGCAATATCTATTAAATTATGAAGGGTTTTAATAAAAAATTACTAGTATTCTGAAAAAATTGCACTTGTATTACGTAATGGTTCTACGTATAATCCGTGTGGAAATCGTAAAATTATAAATAACATTCGATAGTAAACTTAAAAAGGAAGGAATGAAGATTGATATGACAATATTAGTGAGAGAATAATAAGGACACCTTTGATACTTATACAACCCCTAAAAAGTGGACTGGCTCAGTAGCTCCACCAGCTTCAGGTGAAAAGCGTAGAATGAAAATTCAGAGAGAAAATGATCTATGCCACTGTCAGTGTTAATGGTCAAAACTACTTGCTATTTTCGGCGAATTATAGGGCTGGTCTTATCCGTCACGTTGGTTGAAATTTCGCTCGGTAAATTTTTTCGTCAGTAAGTTTTGATAAAACTGTGTTATGTGTTTTCTGGATTGATGGGAATTCTCATTTCCAGACTAGTCATGTGGTGTCCGCGCCATGTGACACAATTGGCATATTGGTCGCAATGATTAGTGTTTCAGGCGGACTGTGTCAAATTACTGCTATAATGGGAGAAATGGGATAGTTGGGGGGAGTTTCATCTACACAAATAGTCTACTTTGTGTGGAAGCTGCACCTTTCGGCATAGAATCATTCAATGAAGACTTCACGTCTCAGAATATAAATGTAGCCTATTTTCGTGTAAGGGACAGTACTGTTTGACAAAAAAATACTGTCAGTTCATGGAAATCCCCTATAAATACTAACAGAACCTTCTATGGGAGCAGAAGTTATCATGTAGATGAGTCTTTCACCATATACACTTGTCTGAACAGGAATTATTGTAACCTGAAAGGTTATCTCTAAGTGGATTTAATATATATTTCCGCTGATTGGTGCAGTGCAATATATGTTATGTGGATTCAGTGTATAAAAATATCTCTACTTCATTAATATTGTCCCATTGTCTGCTTAGCTGACTGCTAGGCTAACAAATGTGGGTGGTTCTCATGATTGTTGCAAGGGAAGTGCAGTGGAGAAGGAAATGACTCGTTTAATTTTCCTCACTGTTTCACTTAATGCATTAGTTCGGTGTAAAGTATTATTATACACATGGATTGTGTTGATTATGAGGACTGTTATACCATTCCCACTGACACTGTATACTTAATGCTGCAGTGCTTTTGATTATCAATAGTGGAGATGAATTTATCTTGGAATTCCTATTTACATGAAGCAGTACAGGTGCAGTATCACGATTGAATATCTAGGTTGCATTATATGACATTGTTATCCCCATCAACACAACAGGTCTGTGTATCTCACAATATTTTATGTGTTTCTCTATGCTTCTAACACCGTACATAGCTGTTTAGAGTTGAGGCATGTTCAGCTTACATTTGATGGCTACGGTTTCCTAAATATGAGAATGTAATTTCTGTATTATTCACAAAACCATGCTAACGAGACATTACTGAGGTTATAGGTTAACTTCTAAATTCCACATTTGCAATACTTCCTTTAATTTGAAAATATTCATTGTGAAGTTAATCCGCACGTAATCTTGATGAGAGAATGACAGAGAGAACAGTATGGATGTTTCAGAGATTGTCTTGAAATTTGCGTATAATCCGCTAATACTGGAAAACATATGAGGTCTACTTATGCATACTGCGTCAATATAAAAACCAGCTGTGGACTACAAACACTTTTATTTACATGAGAATTTCACTTAACAGAATCAATGTATTCATATTGGAAACTACTCTGTAGAATTATCTTTCATAACTTCACGCTGTGCTAGTCCTTACATGTGCTTCATTTTCTAGGTACATGGAAGTTGTCGAATATGAAATCAGCGGAAACATCAATCGGTCAAACTAATGCTAATAGCCTTCATCGCAATTTTCTTTGTATTCTAATAAAATGTTTAATATACTCCTGACTACACTTCTTCTGGACTTCTTCATTGCATCGCTTCATTATAGGCTATTGTAATATGTGAGGCTGGATTAATGCATGTTGAGCTTAGTTAGTGGGACGGAGATTTACTATGGTATTATGAGACTGTTACTTAAGTCATTCGTAGGATTTCGCGTCTGTTTCTATAGAATAACACATTACAAAAACTGAGTAAGATTTAGCAAGTTGAATAATAATTCTGTACTCTTCGATACACTAAAGTCGCCTTACCTAGCTAAACGCCAATCCCGTAGTACAGATAAATGTAGTAACTTAGGGTTGATACCTACTTCATTAATCTGTTAATATGCAGTGACATCATCTAATAGATTGCTTGCTTGACGATGAGCTAAGGGACAATTCTTATTTATTTCCAGCATGCCGTTGAATCACATGGTGCTGTATAATTTCCATTATTTTTATGATCAACAACTGCAGTATTTGCATATGTACTTTATGGATATTAAATAACTTACGTCTTTATGCCTTACGCCTTCCGCTGAAGGTAATCTCCTGTAGGTACTATCTTAGCGAGCAACTTAACGCTTTCTTTGAATTACAAAGCAAAAGTGGACTTCCCGAGAACTTTCTTGGTAAAGGGATCGTCTCCCAGTCAAAAAATTAATTAACTCTAATCTCCAAGATAGCGTTCAAAGTTGCTTATCCTATCGCCTCTAATGACTCACCATGAGAAAAGAGCTATATCCATAGGGCTATAACAGCTAGACACGCGATATTAGTCCGAAGCGTAGCGACTACGGTTCTCAGTCACAGAACAAACTGCTTTGCTATCTATTCGTCTAATTTTGTCAACAGATGTTCCGCCAAGAAAAAGAGAACCATTGGTTCAAGGATAATTTATTTAAAGTTTCATTAAAAATCATGGACACTCGGTAATTATACCCAACGAGAAATTACGAATATCCGAAAAGTAAGGATTTGATTATTTGAACTGAAACAAGCTATTTGGCAGAAATTAAACGACATGTACAAGGTCATTGATGGAGTGAGACGCTCCAAGGTCATTTTCGTCCATGTTAGTCGGCCATGTTGGATTGCAGTTCTGTAGCTGTTCGTTTACACATCGATTTTTCCGTTTATCCAGCACTTATTCACCACGTATCTTGATGCACATTGTTTACAAATGTTGCGTTTCACTTCATTATTGTTTCCGTTTCTGTTAAAATTAGTTATTTCGTTTGTTTCGAAAGATTTTACCACCAGGTCAGTGCATTCGTTTCATTGTAATTGTTTCATACGTTGCATTCATGCATGGTTTCAGTGTTTTAATTGTTTTTCAGCTATTAATGAATTAGTACTGTGTAGAAGTTTTGGAAATTATGCACATGAACATGTTTGGGAAGCAGAAGCCATTGTTTCCAGTTCATTTTTGGTTGCCGTTATTGCTGCTGGCTGAATTGGTTACTTAATATGTAGGAATCTGGAAAAAAATGTCTCTCACATTCATGTTTACAGCATGCAATAATCTACGAGTGAATCTGGTGAAAAGAGCACGATCAGTGTTGACATTTGCAAAGTTTTCGAAGAACTAATTAAACCCAGAGAATTTAGAACCTGGTTTGAAGTTTAAAATGCTTTGGAGCTTTTCGACAAGGTGTCTGTTGTCAGCTAAAAAATCAGGTATATTGTGAGAGAATCAAAATCAAGCAAGGATGAGCCAAATGTGAAGCATGAATGTGTGGTGTTTGTATGTACTTTTGGAAGCAAAATTAGGAAGCAATAGGAAATCCCTAAATGATTGTTAATGCCTAGTGTACTAGATCCAAACGCACGAACTAGGACTGCCTGTAGTAAACGCGGTGTTAACAACCATTTTATTTGTTTCAAAAGGATTTGAAAAGCGGATAACGTACGATGATCTGGTGAGTGTTCGGTAAGAATTTAACTAGCAAGAATAACGTTTCGGATTTTGGTCTACAGTCGGTGGTTTTTTCGAATTTACAACCGTCTGAGAAGCTGATTATTAATCGGGGTGAAAAAATTGGCTGGTTACAAATTGCTTGTTTCAGTTCAAATAATGAAATTCCTATTTTTCGGATGCTTGTGATTTCTCCGTGGTTATAAACACGGTTGCCCATGATTTATAAGAAAACTTTAAATAAATTTTCCTTGAACCAGTGGTCTTCTTTTTCTTGGCGAAGCATCTATTGAGACGATTAGGTAGCAAAGTAAATGTTTTGTGATTGAGAATCGTAGTCGTTGAGTTTCGGATTTATATCGCGCATCTAATTGCTATAACCCTATGAATAAAGCTTTTTCCTCATGGTGCATTATGATATCTAGAAACCATAAGCACACTGCCTTCGATAAATTTATTTTTACTTTTTAAATGACAGCAAATAGTGAGTCATTTGAGGCGATAGGATAAATACCTCTAAACGCTTTCGTGAAGAGATTAGGATATGTTTATTTTCTCGACTAGGAGACGATCTTTTTACCCAGAAAGCTCTCAGGATGTCCGCTTTTACTTTGTAATTCAAAGATAACGTTGAGTTGCTCACTTAGGTAGTAGCAAGGGGTAGCTTTAGGTAATGCGTCATAGAAGTAAGCAGTGTATGTCTATTGTGTCTAAATATATTAAACGTTGTAAAGCCGGTCAAATCGTAGTTCTCAAATATGAGTTAGTTTTTTAAATAATGAGTGTACCGTGCTAGCGTTTGTGCTCGAAACGTCATCAGTTAATATAACTGTACAACACTGTCTGATTTATCAAAATAAAATCTTATCCATAATGGAGTTATACTCTACCACAGTGCCCAAGTTTTATACTTATATCAGCGTTTACCTTGGTTTGCATACCTAGCTCATGCATGCGTGTGA